CCCCCCCCACCCCCTGCCCGTGCTGTGCTTCTGACAGGCCTGCACGGCCCCACAGGCTCCTCCATTCCTGATCCCTGGTGCCCACCATGGCCATTGACCTTCCCTTCCCCACACTCCATCGGTCAAGTTCCTCCCAAGCCCTCGCTGCCCAAGGGGAGGGCTCAGCCTGGAACCTGCTCACTGCCTCCCTTACCCATCTCCAAGCTGGTGGAGAGCCTCCCTGGGAAACTGAGGCTGCAGCAGCCACTGAGGGCTCCGGAACAGGAGCTGGTAAAGTGATGACCACAGGGTGAGGGGTGCCTGCATTTGAGAGAAACCCAACCCTCCCTCCCAGAGATGCTCCCTAGGCCCCACAGCTCTTCTTCTTCTCTGACGACCTGGGGCAGGGGGCAGGGGCATTTAGGGACACTTTATGAAGGCTCCGCTCTCATCCCCTCAGGGGTTAGGAGGGTGGGGCTGTGCAATGGCCTGAGGCCTGACCAATCTCCTGGTCTGCCTTCTTCTCTCAGAAGATGGGAAGCCAGGGAAAGCAGCAGCAGGAGAGGGCATGGCAGGGTAGGCTGTGGGCACAGGGAATTAAGCCATCTGGGCCTTTGGACCTGGTGCAATGGATCGAAGGAGAGCCAAGAACTTTTACATGTCACCATCCACCACTCCCCGGCTTGGCCAGTGTGAGCAAGTCTTGCCTTCACTAAGCCTCAGTATCCTCTGTAAAATGGGAACACGGACAATACCTAGCACATGGGATTAATGTGAGAATGGCATGATGGCATGGGACACAATGCACCGGGGACCGGGCCTGTTTTCTCCATCCTCCTGTTTCCTCTGTATCTGGGGTCCAGATAGGCTGAGTCAGTACCAAAGTCACAAAACCATGTATGAGTGCCCAGGGGAGGCTACATACGGGCGTTAGTCACAAAGCCTATCTTATGCAATGTTCAATCCACAAGGCTTTGTTTGCACTTTTTGTGGTATTCGGGAAATAGCCTGATGTAACGTGGAGTGGCCAATGACAGACAGTACAGCACGTTCCCCAGGCTTGCGACAGCTACTTGCTTGTGTTTAAATGCCGTTTCATTCTGACCGAGGTCGTCATCTTTGAGCTCCTGCAATAAGGAGCTTGATGGGGTGGGGGATGTTGTCCTTTGCCTCAGCTGCTTTTTGGAGACTTCCATAAAGAGCATCAGAGCCGCTGATGGGGTTTGGGAGACCCTAAGAGTTCTGACCATCAGCTAAGAATTGTGTCCTTGGGGAGCGGGAGCTGCAGCAGCTCTGAGCACCAAGGACTCCAGCACCAGGAGGACGGGAGCGGAGCCTCCAGGCACCTCCACTTCGCAGCCCCTGCAGGTTGCATGTGGGGTCCCTCTAGATGGGGTGGGGAATGACCTCTGCACAGCTCTTCTGTCCCTTGGCCTTCTTGTGTGCAGGTTGTAGAGGGGAAACAGAAGGTTGGAAAGGCCCTTCCAGCTTGGGCTTTTGCTGGTTTAAAATGGATTCCTGAGCCAGCCTCCCTGTCCGTGGACAGAACCGAAGCTACCCTCTGCCCTGCCTCTCTGCCCCCCATGGTATGAGTCTCTGTCTCATCTGCCCCCAGATCCCAGACACAGCCCTGGAGCCAAAAGAAGTGCATCTGAGAAAAGTTGGAAGCCAGGGGCAGTGCTCAGGCAGTGTGGAGGCTGTGCCCAGAGCCAGCAGGGGACACAGTCACAGCCTCACTCTGCAGCACAAGAGATTGAGGTCAGGCCCTGCACCCCCGCCCAGTGAGCTGAGGGGTCCTGGCATCAAGAGGCTGGATTGAGAGGCCTCAGGGAGTCAGGAATGGTGGCTCACGCCTGTAATCCCAGCACTTTGGAAGGCTGAGGCAGGTGGATCACTTGAGGCCAGGAGTTCGAGACCAGCCCAGCCAACATAGGGAACCTCTGTCTCCACACACACACAAAATACAAAATTAGCTGGGGGTGGAGGCACATGCCTATAATCCAAGCTACTCAGGAGGCTGAGGAAGGAGAGTTGCTTGAACCCAGGAGGTGGAGGTTGCAGTGAGCCAAGATTGCACCACTGCACTCCAGCCTGGGCTATAGTGAGACTGTCTCAGGGGAAAAAAAAAAAAAGGCCTTAGGCAACCGCAGCTGGGCAAGGACTTGGGAAGAGGGGAGGCCCCTTTGGCTGTGCCTTCAGCCCCCAAGGCCAGGGTTTCTATGAGGCCTGAAGCAGGAGCCTGTCATAGGCAACTGCAGTCAGAGGCCTCCCTGCCAGAAACCACTCCTTGTCCCCTGCCTGCCACAGGCCGGAAATGTCCATGTTGGCACAATGTTGCCAATATGGCTCTTGGTGGATGAGATGGCCTGGCACTTTCCCAGGGGACCCTGGGCTAGGAGTAGAGCTGGGCATCCAGTGCCCAGCACCAGAGGAGGTGCTGCAAGCCTGTAAGCCTGGTTGGCCCAATTACTGCCTTAATGCCATTGCACAGTGCCACCATGGACCCTCTGTCTTGCCAGGGAAGGCCTTAGGCACTGGGTTTAGACATTTCAAAGTGAGTTCTCATCCACTCGTATCTTCGATCACACTACAGTCCCCATTTCACAGACAAACTGCCCAGAGAATTTGTCATAGGTCACACAGCAAACTAGCAGCTAAGCCCCCTGGGCCCCTAATCTGTCCCAGAAACATGGTTTCTCAGCTGTTCTGAGCTTGCCAGCGTGACCATGCTCAGGAGCTACAGGCAAGGTGGGCTGAGGCTTGGTATCACCCTCGAGGTCATCTGGCCGTTCTTCTAAACGCTCCTCCCCAGCCAGCTTCCGCTGGCTGAGTCATGTGACCCCAGAACCCGTCTCAGTTCTGTTGCCGACCCCTCCCTCCATCTGCGCCTTCACTGAAGCAGTCTCTCAGAGGAGGGCTCTTCGGTACCGTGGAGGGACAGGACACCTCTGGGAATTCATGCCCATCTGTGTTCATGCTGAGTTCTTCATGACCACTCCTTCCAGCCTCAGCTGGAATCCAGGGCTGGGTACCGAGCCATACTGGCCCAGTGGGCCCCCTCCTGGGATCGCAGGACTTGGAGCAGAAGAGTCCCTCCAGGGCTGAAGACTGGACACAGAAAACTCGGGAACTCTCAGCTGTCCTGTTTTTCACCTCGTGGAATAAGCTGGACTTCAATGAGAGCGAATGGAGCTGACAATTCCCAGAAACTGGAATTGGGACAGTGAGACTTTAGTTCAGCCCGGGGCGGCCTCATGTGTGGAGCTGATAAACTTGAGCTTTGAGGTGGTCGTCAGAGGGAGAGGAATACCCTCCGCGGGCAGAGCTTCCCGGGTTCCGGGCCCTTCCTGACACCGGCACAGGGTCCAGCTGCCCTTGGGCTCGTCCGCACACCCTGGATCCAAGATGAAATTTCTCTCATCTCTGCCGCCAGTGGCCTGACTGGCTTCGGTTACTTTGTACAAAGAGCCCTTGCTCAGCCAATAACCCCGCTGCTGCTCCAAAGGAGACCCCTGTCATCCTGGAAGCCCCTCCCTGAGGCCGGGTACCCACTTGCCTCCCGCAGCCCGCAGCCCGCAGCCTCGCCCCAGCTCCAGTTCCTGGTGGTTTCCCTGCCCACCCCGCCCAGTGAGGAGATCGGCGCCCCTCGTCTGTCCCTGGGTTGCTGGGGTTCGTGCCTCATTGTCTCCAAGCCCGGCTTCTATCCCTAGTCCTTTCCTGTTCCCGCCACTCCGCTGCTTCTGTCTCCTCTTCCCTCCAGCGGTGATTCCAAACCTTCTCTTCCATAAGATCCTCCGCTCCCTTTCCCAGAGACCCAGAGGCGGCCACGCGCCGCTGCAGTGGCGCAGCCTACAGCCGGTCCCCCTCGGCGCCGCGCAAGCAGTCCAAGGTCATTCCCGGTCACCTGCCCCTTCGCTCCCATTGGCTCTGGGGAGGACACGTGACTCCATCCTGTCCAATGGCGTGAGGCCCTGTCGCTTGCCGCCGGACAAGCTTTTCCAGGAGCTTCTGGAGGCAGCTCGGGGATCCCCGGCCGAGCGCAGCCTAGTGTAGCAGAGACCTGAGGACAACGGCCCTTAGATCCTCTGCCTTCCTCTGGTCCTTTCCCCTCCCTGAAGGGGAGGACTTGGGGGAGAGGTTAAGGGCACCGGCTTTGAAGTCCCATCCCAGCCCTGCCTTGGACGGGCGCGGTGTTTCACGCCTGTAATCCCAGAATTTTGAGAGGCTGAGACGAGAGGATCTCTTGAGCCCAGGAGTTGGAGACCAGCCGGGGCAACATGGTGAGACCTCGTCCCTATAATTTTTTTTTTTTCTGTTAAGACAAAGACTTGCTCTGTCACCCAAGCTGGAGTGCCATGGCATGAACTCGGCTCACTGCAACGTCCACCTCCCAGGTTCAAGCTATTCTCGTGCCTCAGCCTCCCTAGTGGCTGGGATTACTGGCGTGAGCCACCACGTCCCGCTAGCTAATTTTTGTATTTTTAGTAGAGAGGGTTTCGCCATGTTGGCCTGGTTGGTCTTGAACTTACCTCAGTTGATCCGCCTGCCTCAGTCTCCCAAAGTGCGCGATTACAGGTGTGAGCCACCGCGCCCGGCACTATAATTTTATAATAAATAATGTGAAAGAAAAAAAATTGCCTCATGGAGCTGGGGATGGCGTGTATAGAGTGCTTAGCATTTGTGTTCAGGGCACAAGCTCTGGGCTCCGCAGACACCAAACTACAGCCCCCAGCTCCCCCACTCGCGAGCTGTGGGACCTCACCACACCAGGTTCAATTGGTAGTTTCACAGCCAACTTATTATGAAGCCATCGATGCTGTGTGAACTTTGCTGTCCATCTCCTGGGGGACAAATGTAGGAGTGAAATTACAGGGCCCTAGGGACAAGTTCATGATCAGCTTTAGTAGGTAATGCCAAAGTGCTTTCCAAACTGGTTAGCCCAAGAGTGCATGAGAGTTCCTGCTGCCCCTCATCCTTGCCAGGACCTGGTACTCTATGACTTTTAAGTTTGTGTCAGTCCAGTAGTGCCAGGTGGACTCTTCAGCATTTCCCTAATCATAGTTAGGTCAAGCCATCTGTGTTTTCTCTTAGATGAGACATCCGTTTGTGACTTAGCCCCCTCTCCCTAACTCTTCCTTTTTGCTTTTGTCTTAAGGATTAATAAGCATTAGAAAGAAATCCTTATCGGCTGGGTGCACACCAGCATGCCTGGCTGACTTTAAATTTTGTTTCGTAGAGAGGAGGGTCTCGCTATGTTGCCAGGGCTGGTCCCAGACCCATCAAGTGATCCTCCCACGTCGGCCTTCTAAAGTGCTGGGATTACAGGAGTGAGCCACCCGCTCGGCCACTTGAGTTTTTTTGAAGGGTCTAGCTTGAGAAATGTTTTTTTTCTTTTTGAGCTGGAGTCTCGCTCTGTCGCCAGGCATGAGGCTGGAGTTCAGTGGTGCAATCTTGGCTCACTGCAACCTCGGCCTCTCAGGTTCAAGCAATTCTCCTGCCTCAGCCTCCCAAGTAGCTGGGACTACAGGCATGCACCACCACGCCCAGCTAATTTTTGTATTTTTTAACAGAGACGAGAGTTTCGCCATGTTGGCCAGCCTGGTCTCGATCACCCGACCTTGTGATTTGCCCACCTTGGCCTCCCGAAGTGTTGGGATTACAGGCGTGAGCCACCGCGCCCAGCTGAGAAATTCTTAAGGTCAAGATAGTCTTCAATATTTTATTAATTTGAAATGGAATGGAATTGCAGTGGCCTGGTGCCTGGCTCTCCCTGGATTCATCACCATTTCTATCAGATGCCACTTCTTCCAGAACTCTCCCAGGATCCCTGCACCCCCCACCAGCCACCATGTGCTGTTTGCATCTCAGCTGCCTGTGGGCCTGGTTCTGCCCTTCATCAGTTAGCTCCCTCCTAGATGGGTCTTTTACATTTCCATGTGGCCAGGAAGTTGTGAGGTGTGATACCAATGAGTGGTTACCAGTAAAGTACTAAAGTATCAGTCATTTTTTCCCCACAAGATTAAAGAAAATCAGCAATGGACTCTCAAGACTGTCCCAATGTCACCCTCTTTTTCTAGCATTTCAAAATGCCAGAGGCTGGATGCGGTGGCTCATGCCTGTAATCCCAACATTGTGGGAGGCTGAAGCAGAGGATCATTTCAGCCCAGGAGTTCAAGACCAGCTTGGGCAACATGGCAAGACCTTGTCTCTACAAAAACTTAAAAAAAAAACCAAAAACTAGCCAGGCATGGTGGCGTGAACCTGTAGTCCTAGCTATCTGGGAGGCTGAAGGGGTGGATCACCTGGGTCCAGTTTGAGGCTGCAGTGAGCTGATTGTGCCACTGCACTCCAGCCTGTGTGACACAGTGAGACCCTGTCTAAAAAAACAACCAAAAAGCCCCGTATGTGTATGTGCATATGTATACACATATACAAAAAAAGTAAAAAATGCCAGATAGGGACCCCTGCTAGCCTGACATCACGTGGTTACATAGACATGTACAGTATGTTGCCATGGATGGCAGAGGCAATTACCAGTCCCCCCCGGGCCTGCCTCTCTGTGTGTCTTCAGGGTATGCCGGGGAGTATGCATCATGAGAGAGAAAAAGCTCTAGGGTCTAGGCCTGAGCTCCACTGGCAGTGCCCCAGGGTTCCACGTCCAGCATGTCACCTGGCTTCACATCACCCTTCTAGAAAAGCTTCTAAGCCCATGCCCTGGTGAAAATACACCCTAATTCTCAGAGGATGGCCCCTGAATCCATTAGCCTGGGACCCATGGTGGCCCCAGCTTCACTTTTTCCCAATTCCCCTCCCCTTCACCCACTGACCCAAGGCACCAGCCACAGTTCCCCAGTGCCAGGTTCTTTGATGCCACTGTATTTCCCTATGTATTTGTATGTATGTATGTATTCCTCTGTAAGGAATGCCCCTCTCCCGGTGCAAACTCTGACTCTTCCAGCTTTAACGCTGCCACCTCTGGGAAGCCTTCCAGAAGTTCTGTGGTTGCTCCAGCTTCGACCTGCCCACCAGTGGTAGCCACTGCACAGCCCCAGGCAGGCTGTGTTCTAAAGAATGTGTCTCAGTCTAGATAACCCTGTGGGTTTTCCCTCAGTGTCTGACCCAGCAGGAGCTTGACAGGGGCTTGCAGAATCCAGGTGACCTGCTGGCCCTGTGCCTGCTGGAACACAGATGTGACATCACTGGAATCAGCCTGGTGATGTGGTAATGCCAGAGAGCCATGCTAACACAGAAGGTAAGCTGAGAGTAAGTTCAGTGAGCTTGCCCTCTGAAGAGGGGGTGGGGAAGGGGAGAAGGTTCAGGAGAGATCAGGGGGGTGAGGAGTAGTTCACTCAGTCCCCTTTCACTCGGCAGCTCA